ATCATGCAATTCTCTAAAAGCATCTAGCAAATAGTTGTGTGCATTAACCAATTCATCATAAGTAGTTTCCAAATCAAATGAGTTATGATTAGAATTTATCTCATCTTCATCGGCCATGAGACAAAGATTAACCAATTCATTTAGTTCATCGTCACTTTCAGATCCATTTGAATCATCATCCTCCCATGTAGCTTGCATGGCTTTACCTTTCTTTTTCATTTCCTTTTCATTTTTGTAGGCATAGCAATCGGACTTGAAGTGCCCCGGTTTTCCACAATGGAAGCAAGTAGGTGCTTCTCTTTTTCCTTGCTCACTAGACGACCCATTTCTTTTGAAGTGGTTGCTCTTTTGGAACTTCTTCATTTGAAGAATTCTTCTTACGGTTTTGGTAATGAGAGCAACTTCTTCTTCTTCTTCATCATGAGGAACTTTATCAATTGTAACTTCTTTGGTAGTAGCTTGTAGAGCTATATCCTTCTTTTGAGTTTCTTCATCTCTATCATTCATTTCTAGCTCGTAAGCCATTAATGAACCAATAAGTTCGTCAATGGGAAGTGTGTTAAGATCTTTGGCTTCTTGGATGGCGGTCTTCTTAGTTTCCCAATTCTTTGGCAAAGATCTAAGGATTTTTCTTACATTGTCGGATGATGTATATTTTCTTCCAAGAGCTTTCAAGGGATTAACAATGTAGTAAAACGAGAGTACATTTCACTAATAGTTTCTTTGTTATTCATGGTAAAAAGTTCATATTTATAGACAAGCATATTCATTTTGGATTCTTTAACATGACTAGTGCCTATATAGGTAACTTCAAGTTTATCCCAAATTTCTTTGGCCGTTTCGCAATCCGAAATTCTATTGAATTCGTCTTTGCTTAAGGCACAATAGAGATTAGTGATAGCCTTGACATTACATTGTACAAGCCTACGGTCATTGAGGGTCCATTCAATATCGGGTGTTCAAACATTTTCACCTTCTACTATCTTGGTTGGAACATGGTCTCCTTTTTCTATGGCTTTCCAAACATCTACATCTATGCCTCTTAAGAATGCTCTCATTTTGATTTTCCAATAGTTGTAGTCACTTCCATCAAACCAAGGGGGTCTATTGTTAGATTGACCTTCTTGATGGAAAAGTGTATTGGCCATGATCGTTCTCTAAGATGATTAGTCTTTTTCTAGAGATTAGGCTCTGATACCAATTGTTAGTCACTAATTGACTCTAGAGGAGGGGTGAATAGAGTCAAGGAGCAATTTTTTCAATTTAAAAATTATATTTCTACCAAACTGTTGAATATCAGTTTATTGAAATATTCAAGCAAAATAAAGCACAAAAATAAGAGAGATAGAGATAAGAGATTGCAAACAATGACTCGGTGATTTAGCGAGGTTCGGAAACTCCTACTCCTCGGCTCAAGATCCCCTTTGAGACTTCCCAAATTCACTAGAGCTTCTCCTTAATGGTGGAGAGCAAACCTTCACTTTTGAAACAAGATCTTGCTTCTCTTCTTTGCTAGGAGAACACCCTTCTCCTAGGCTTTCTTTTGGGTTACACCAACCCTTTACAATAGCTTTGAAATTTGAAGAAACAAGTGTACAAGAATCTCTCAAAGATAGATTATAGAGTTTAGCTCACAACTATAGAAAAGATGAATATACGTGAAGCTCAGAATTACTACAGTGATATGAAATAACAGAGAGGGAATGAAAGCTCAGAAAACTTCTTTAATGCTTTTCAAGGAATGATAGAATGTTCTCTGTTAAAAAGCATCTTTTAGTTTGAAGACCAACCTCAGTATTTATAGAATCAACAGAGTTCAATATAGCTGTTAGAGGTTGTTGAGAACATTTAATGAAAATGTTTACGTTACAGTTCAAAACCCTAAAGAGAGCCGTCTCTTGAAAACCAAAGAGCCTGCTCTTTGTTCATTTTCCTTGGAAAGAGCCTGCTCAATAAAAACGTGAGCCTGCTCTTTATTTTGAAGATCCATTTTCGTAGCTTTCTTGGAACAAAAAGAGCCCTCTCTTTCTTTTGATTGAGCCCTCTCTTTTTCTTAAATACTTCTCAAAGACTTACTGGAGTTAAAGAAAAGAACCTTCTTAGAGCTCACTGAATAAGAGAAAAGAGCCTTCTCTTTATTTTATAGAGCCTTCTCCATCTCACATTATGATACTTAATATGAAATTCTTTAAGTCCTGTGAATGTGATCATGAGCTGATTTTATTTTCTTTGAGAAATAAAATGGGAATGCAATGCATGGATTGAATTTTGAGCTTCAAATATATTCAAATTAACTTTGACATTAAATCTTAAGCTCTCACCATCTAATCTACCCTTTTCTTCAATCTTTGACCATGATCGGTTAGCCTTTGATGGAGTACTTGAATAATCTTTGAATTCTTGCAACTTCAATGCTTCCTTGAATCCATTGCTTGAGTACTTGGAATGCTTCTGGCTCAATATTGAGGATTGAATTAATTTATCAACTATATAGCACTCAAGGAAAATATTAGTACATAAACATCATTAATGGTTTGTAATCATCAAAATATAAGATTGACCTTTAGATTAAATCCTTAGGCCAACAGTTATGGTGTACAATACTGCAAGGTGCTCCCTGAAATTTTTTATTGCTCCATCCCTGACGCTTATCAGTCTTTCAGAATCAATATCAGGTCTACTCTGTAGTAAAAAATACACTCCCTAAGATCTTCCTAAATGATTAATTCTTCCCCCTTTTTGTTTTCTTCTCCATTTTACTTTTTTGGGTAGGTTTTAACAAGATTTTCTCCCATACTTCATGATACAATATCAATTGAGATAAAAGAATCCCTGAAGACTAAAAAATGAACTCCAAGAAACTAACCCAATATATAATTTTAGACAAAACAAAGATAACCCTAACATATCATTCTCATTTCTTAAATTTGAAATGTATTTCCTTACATGGCCAAATCCAAAGGCTTCCCTCCCTTCAACCCCTTAAGCTGCTTGCAGAACAAGATTCAGGGACTCAATCCACATCCTCCCTAAAAGCATCCTCCCTAAAAGAGATGTAGCTGATTACCACTGGAACAACAATAATGATAACAAATAAAAACCAAAACAAAAAATGTTAACCCCCATGAAATTGAACTGATGACCCTCAACATCAGACACGTGGAAGATCAAGCAGCACTTGACACATGAAACAAGAGCATCTAAGAATTGGACATTAATTTTTTTTCTATTTGATACTCAAGTAGCACCCCATGGAAAGACAAGATTTTCCCCTGTTTTCCTTCTGAAAAAAAAAAGAAGTTTGTTAAAGCTGTAAAAGATATACATCCTTAAATACGTATGTCACTATAAAAAAATTTTAAAAAAAATTGTTAAACGAAAAGGAAAGAAGAAGGGATGTACGTTTGAACCATAAAATTCAAAAGAAGAAAAGAACTACAAAAACACGACACATGCCAAAAATTGCTCCCAAAATGTTTTTTCAAGTTTTGTAATGATACATTTTTGTGGCACTCGATACCCATCAGCTTAAGCCCTAGCCTATACTCCCACTGTATCCCTTACTTGAGTATTCAATGAACCATTAATATTACGACAAAAGGTGAAAATAATCTCCAAATTTGAGGCTCAAAATTATTTGAAACGATTGTAATAGGTAAAAGATAAAAAACTACAGTGGCCTAACGGTATCGGACCTTTACTTCCCCAAGGAAAATTGAGAGTTTAAGGATCAGTGGAGGCATGATAAGAAATTGGTAATCTCATTGTGTACCTAGGCCTTGACTTGTTTCTTCCTTCCAACCTCTTTCATTTTAACTTTCCTAATTTGGGATGATTCTGTTTCAGGAGCCAATGAAGAGACATGTTTGCTTAGTGCATAAAATTTTATAAAAGGCATAACAAATTGATTTTGACAGATAACAAAACTAATTGAATTAACACATTACAAGAAATAAGAAATAGGTAATCTCATTGAGTACCTTGGCCTTGACTTGTTTCTTCCTTTCAACCTCTTTCATTTGAATTTTTCTTAGTTTTGGGATGATTCTGTTTCAGGAATCAATGAAGAGACATGTTTGCTAATTAGTGCATAAAATTTTATAAAAGACATAACAAATTGGTTTTGACAGATAACAAAACTAATTGAATTACAAAGACTTCCAAAATTTGCCATTTAATTAGCTTTTGTAGGGAAAAAAAAATTGGAAATTCGTTAAACACCAGACCATGCAAATTATTAGATGCTCAATGCTATGATCTCCTACAATGCAGAATGAGAAGATATAACAAAACTAATTGAAAGGAAATATCCAATGACCAAATATGAATCAATGCTACTATATATAACATAATCCCAATATAACAAAACATAAAAAAAATAATGTAATGCCCGTATTGCAATAAGAAATAAAAGTACACAAATTTCTTGAATGTCCATAGGATATGTGCCTAAATTATCAATCTAATGGTGCCAATATAAGAAATCAAAATTCTGGGTATTCCTAAATGCCAGAAAAGTCCCCCAAAACCTAGAAATCATCTAATTTCCCAGAAAGTTACAGAGTAGACAAAAATACTTAATTTTAAGTCCTGATAATATTATAACATTCTCCAGGAAGTTTAAAATCAAAGAAATCAAAAACCCAAAACATGAAATAACATAAGATGAAATGAAAAGAGACGAATTTCTTACTTTGGATTCTGAGCCAAATTTTCCATGCTGGGAGACTGGAGTCAGACAGACTATCTAATTCAATTTTTTTTTCACCTCCACTTCCCATTCGACAGGAACCCATATTGGATGGAATCGAAGTCAATTGAAAAACATAAAGAAGACCAACACATTAACCCTAGTGAAAAGTGGGATCCTGTTCTAAATCTCTTTATTTTATAAATAATGGACTTGCGGAAAATCCTGATAGCCCAAGATGTTGGTTGTTGGTGTGATTCTAAGGATTGAGTTTTGAAAAATTAATTTTGAAGAGAGAGATGAAATTAATTTACATAATAATTGCTGAATATCGCTGGGTCTACTAACCTTGCACTGACTCCATTGCTATATGGATACCCCATTTCTTGACATTCATATTTCGAAAGCGAATTGTAGCCTCAATGTAGCAGGCATCATCACAAATATTGGGAGGGCCTGCGCTGAGCTTTGGTTTCTTCTTCATCAAATTCATAATTGGTCGATAGGCCCTTTCATCCACATCGTAATATTCAGCTATGCGTGTACAAATTGCTGCTTGGTTTGACAAATACTGAAAGAATAAATCCTGATACCATAAGGAATAACCATTGATTTTGAGATCAATAGCCACTGATCTTGAGATATCAGCAAATTCCGAAACATCAGCACAGAGAGCACCTAAGAAGATTCCTTTGACATATATGGATGGCGGCAGTGACGTCAACATTCGGAGGCTTCTGCAATGTGTCAAATCAATCTCGCCAAGATTCCTGAGTTGAATGACACTTGCTGGTATGTGAACGAAATTGTTTTCACTCACATTTAAGTATGTCAACAAGGATAGGCTGCTAATATCATTCGGAAAAGATTCTTCTGATAAATTGCAGTTACTGAGTTGTAAAGCATTTACATTGCATAAACCGGAGAGCATTTCCAGATGCAAATAAGTTGAATTACCTCTTTTTCTCTTTCCCAAAAATGAAAATGGCATCTTGGTAGATTGTTTTTGAAAATGAGAGAGTGTAAGTGTTTTAAGATTACTCAAGTGTACAATGGATGATGGTAACTGTGTCATAGGAACTCTTTCCATAAAAAGGTGTTCTAAACGCTTCATTCTACAAAAAAATGTTGTCTGGAACATTTTTAAGCTTTTGGCACCTCGTTAGATCTAATCTCTCTATCCCATTAAGATGCTCAATTGATGATGGTAAACCGTATATTCCAGTATTCGACAACCTAAGATACTTCAAACGAACCATATCCCCTTGAATCTCTGGAAAATTCTCCAGTTTTACGCATCCTGACAAACTGAAATATTCCAGATTTTTCAACTCAATGCTTCTTGGAAAATTCTCCAGTTTTATACATTCGTTGAGTTGCACACAAACAAGCTTGCTGTGAACTCCGCTGGAAAGGTGATCCTTAACTAAATTTACACATTCTGTAACATCTAAGTCCTTGAGACATGGGAGACTGGACAAATCAGGAGTTTCTTTCAAATATGGGCAGTCACGGAGACAAAGCAATTTTAACTTATTTGAAGACTGCAAAAGAGAATAAGCGAATGAAACAAATAAATTAGTTCCAATAAACTCAACGGTACTAATCATGTGTATATGTAAGTAAGTAGAAAAACTGTGATGATCTTACGCTGATTGCAGTTGAAATTTGTTTGATAGGGCTTCTTGGAAGCTGAAGTTGAACAAGATTTTGTGGATGGAAATTGGATGGCAAAAAACCTAGTGGATAATCATTCCAAACAAGATAACGTAATTCATTTGATAGATATGTAAGCTGTCCACAAAGCCGTACGGGCCCACTAAGTTTTAACAGTCTTAGTTTCTTCATCTTTGCAAAGACGTCAGCATTTACGAGTAACTCCTCTGATAGATGGCCACGAGGCATGTTTAGCATAATGCCTCTAATCGCTTCCGTCGCCTGATTACAAAGAACAAGATGTAAGTTACCAAATTACATTAAAACCTAATTAAAAGTCGAAGTATACAAGTTTACAGGTTCTTATATGAAAGAAGATAAAGCAAAGTCTATCTTTTGCAAACTACTTGCAGGTGTAAAGAAACTTATATGTAGTTAGAACATACTTTATTGATGTCTTTAAAAGACCACAACCTACTGCGTTTACCAGGATCAGGTGATTCTTCATGAACAATTGCTCTACCCATTTCTTGTACCACATTATGCATACTCAATATTCTATCATCCGTGATAGTTAGAAGTGACCGTTCAATAAGAACAGGTATTTCAATGCGAGGGTAAAAGCCACAACTCTCCAGTAGATCCATAACATATTCTTCAAACCATCCATTGAAAAAACATGCAATATCGAGAAATATATTCTTTTGATCCATGTCATCAAGGCCATCAAAACTCAGTCGAAGAACGTCTTGAATTTTTCTGTTTGGGATTCTTTCTAACTTATCCAAATTAATTTCCCACTCTTCTATGTTTTTTTTATATAATAAAGTACCCAAAACTTCAAGAGCTAATGGAAGGCCTTGGGCATAATGTATCACTCTCCATGAGATTTTCAAATAATTGTCTTCAGAATTATTCTTTGTGAAGGCATGGCAACTAAAAAGTTGAAAAGATTCATCCTCATTCAATAGATCAACCCTATATATTGCATGATCAACTTTGTTCTCTACCAACAAACGTTCATTTCTAGTTGTTATGATGATCTTACTTTCCAAACCATACCAGTCACTTGCTCCAACTAAATTTTCTAATTCCTTCAAACTATCCACATCATCGAGAACTACAAGAACCTTCTTATGACAGAGTCTTTCCTTTATCATATTGATCCCGTAGTCAACATGACATATCTTTAGATCATCTTCCATCAGGAGGTTATTCAGGAGTTGTTGTTGGAGATAAATTATACCTTGTCGGTCTGAAACTTCTTTTACATTGAGAAAGCAACGACTTTCAAATTGATCAAAGATCTTATTGAAAACAGCTTTCGCAACCGTCGTCTTTCCTATCCCACCAGTTCCACAAATTCCCACAATTTTCACTTGGTATTCCCACTTGGTATTTGGCAACATTAAATGGTACATGCCTCCCCAGTTCTCTTAAAGTTTCTTGAACAATAATTTTGATAAACTTCGCCTCATGCCTGTTAAGTACAAAGCACATTAAATAAATATAATTAGTATGATTAAAAATAAAAAATTCAAGTTACTGTATAATAAATAGTTCTCTCAGTTATAACTTATAACTCATATATATGTAAATAATACTAAGCAATTGAAATTGATTTCGTAAATCAAAGTGTTAGAGATAAATTAATCGACCTTTAACATGTTGATAACACCCTGCTTCCTAACATATTATAAAAAAATAAATAAATAAAGGAAACGTAAACAAAAAGGATATTTAGTTTGGCATGTATAATTTCAAGAAAACCCTTTATAATCCATTTCGCACTAATTTGAATTGATAAAGGAAACATGTTTAAAATATAAGAGTAAATAAAAACCAATTTATTTTGACATGTATAATTTCTAGTGAACTTTTGTTGTTTTTTTCTTTACTAAGTACCTCGTTCAGTTATATTTTATCTACCTCTTTTAAAGTGGATGGTGTGAGGATTCCAATCCCTAAAGGGATAAAGTGGGTGTGTAAGTTTCAGAGCCAATAAAAAAAAAAAAAATTATAATTTTGTTAGGTAAGTCAAGCTCAAACAATTTATTGGTTTGTTAGGTAAGTCAAGCTCAAACATTTATCTTATTAGGATTTGACCAACCAATATCCTTAAAAGGAGGAGGAGATATGACTGGACTAAATTTTTAGCCAGGTTATGGACCAAATTAATCAACCAAAAAAGAAAAAATTAATCTAAGTTTATTCCACTTATCTGTTAAACGTCAAATATATCAAAGAAGTAAAGTGAGTGTCTGAGTAATCTAATGGTATTTCCTTAAATTAGAGCTATGTATGTACTTCTTATCAATAAAAGATAAATAAAATAAATCTAACTTTTAAATTTTTATCATTTTTTATTTTAATTTGGCATAAAAAAAAAAGGTGTGTTATTTGCTATGGTTAAAATCATAATAGTACTATAGCCCAACAAGGGCAGACACGTCTCGAATAAGTCATATTTGTGATGTGTCTGTTTAGACATTGATAAGTTAATACTCTTCAAATACTTGTCTACACTTCCTTAATATCCTAAACGTAAACAAGTGTAATATAACACGAACACATCTAAATTAATCATATCTTGTAATTTTGGAAATAATATGAAAACATTTTATATATTAACTTGACATAGAGTTACGACTTCAAATGTTTGCAGATTTATATATATATATATATATGTACAGATCAAACGAAACAGAAATTGAGAGCTCATATAAATATAGTTTCAAAAAGTGTGTGGGTAATCTTCCTACCCTAACGATGGATGCGAAATGGATAACACCAGCAGCAATGGAGATAAAGAAGTAGGTGAGAGTGAGATATGGCTATTTCGTAGTAGATATATAATTATATAATATATTCAAGTGTTATTGTAAAATTATATAAATTTAAATAATAATAGAGAGCTAAAGCAAATTATATAAATGAAAATTTTGTACAGAAAAGGGCTTTAGGCCAAACAAGCCCATATAAACTAGGGACCCACTGTCTAGACCAAGCAACAAAAGGAGGAAAGCCCAACCCACACACTAAAAAGTAGCTTATAAAATTATATTAATTTGTGCATATATAATTGTATTTAGTTCATTACATAATTTGCATGTACTCTATAATATCACATCAATTAGCTCCAAAGGTATATTTGTCCATCAATATTATTCTCTTCTTGGACGTACCATCAAGATCCGGATAACAATCCAGGTATTTTTGAAAGTCATCATAAGCCTTGATAGACTTTAATTTTTTATTTTATTTTATTTTTCAAAAAATAAAAATTATACCATTTAAGGGGGGTTATAAGTTCATTTCAAAAAGTAAAAATTATACCATTTAAGGGGTTGAAGGGCATTTTTCCTAGTATATACAATTATTTTTACCGCATAGTTTTATATAATATATAAAAAATCAAATTATTTTAGACAATTCCCAAACACCCTTTTAGAGGGTCATTGTGTAAAAAAACTTATATTGTTAGGGGTTTTCCCACCATCCAAGAAAAAACAATTTGTGCAAAAAGTATAGGGACCAAGCTGGTTGATTAATTATATATATATATATATATATATATATATATATATATCACAAAAATGTAGTTGCAAGCGATAGGTTTTGTTTGGGGAAGGTAGGTTGGGGTTCTTAATATATATATATATATGTAGTTGCAAGCGATAGGTTTTGTTTGGGGAAGGTAGGTTGGGGTTCTTAATATATATATATATATATATATATATATATATATAAGGAAAAGGATCGCATGTGATAAATGTTTTGTAACTTATATAATTTTTATTTTCATATATTTTTTAATTTTTATTTTGGATGCCATTCAAGTGTGACTAACAAATTTAAACATATGTATAGAAAAAGAATTATGTTAGATATGCTTTTATAAAATGTAAAAGATGGTACTATCTATTTGTTTCTAAAAAAATCTTTAATACTATTAAAAGAGTTTCTATAAAACTCTAGCACAATATATATAAAAATATTTATTAATTAAAAATTTACTATTTTTCTATTTGTTTCGAAAATCACCACTTTCAAATTACCTAATAAAATTCAAATAACAAATTACCTAATATTTTATTATTACCTAAAAATTTAATTTCACCACTTTCAAATTACCTAATAAAATTCAAATTACCTAAAATTTTATTACTTTACACAACTTAAACTCTACCACCAATTGTTTTTAACTCTATCTATATTTAATTGATATAAAAAGAGTTTTTATATAAAAAAAAAATTAAAATTACCTAAAAATTTATTTAAAGTATTTATTTATTAATATAAAAAAAATTATTAATTAATATAAAAAGAGTTTTTATAAAAAGTGATATTTATTAATTGAAATAAAAAGAGATTAAAAAAAAAAAAAATTCCTAAAAATTTATTTTAAACTAGCAAAAAATTTATAAAAAAATATTTATTAATTAAAAATTACATATTTGTCTATTTGTTACAAAAACCACCACTTTCATATGACCTAATAAAATACAAAATACAAATTATTTAATAAAATTCAAATTACCTATAAATTTATTATTACCTAAAAATTTATTTTCACCACTTTCAAATTACCTAATAAAATTCAAATTACCTATAAATTTATTACTTTACACAACTCAAACTCGACCACCAATTGTTTTTAACTCCATATATATATATATATATATATATATATATATTAATATATATATATTTTATCTGATATCAACAAAGTTTTTATATAAAAAAAATTACCTAAAAATTTATTTAAAATGTTTATTTTTAATACAAAAAATATTTATTAATTGATATAAAAAGAGTTTTATAAAAATAAAAATAAAAAATACCTAAAACTTTATTTAAAGTATGTATTTATTAATATAAATTTTTTTATTAATTGATATAAAAAGAGTTTTTATAAAAAGTGATATTTGTTAATTGATAGAAAAAAAAGTTTTTATAAAATAAAAAAAAAATTATTAATTAAAAATTACCTAATTTTCTATTTGTTTCTAAAATCACCACTTTCAAATTACCTAATAAACTACAAATTACCTATTAAAATTGATTATTACCTAAAAATTTATTTTCACCACTTTCAAATTACAAATTACCTAATAAAATTCAATTTACCAATAAATTTATTACTTTACACACCTCAAACTCTATCACCAATTGTTTTTAACTCTCTATATATGTATTAATTGATATAAAAAGAGTTTTTATAAATAAAAAAAAATTACCTAAAAATTTATTTAAATTATTTATTTATTAATATATAAAAAATATTTATTAATTGAAATAAAAAAAGTTTTTATAAAAGAGATATTTATTAATTGATATAAAAAGAGTTTTTATAATATAAAAAAAAATTCCTAAAAAATTATTTAAATCTAACACAAAATAAAAAATATATATTTATTAATTAAAAATTACCTATTTGTCTATTTCTTTCTAAAATCACCACTTTCAAATTACCTAATAAATTCAAATTATAAATTACATAATAAAATTCAAATTACATAAAAATTTGTTATTACATAAAAATTTATTTTCACCACTTTCAAATTACCTAATAAAATTCAAATTACCTAAAAATTTATTACTTTACACAACTCAAACTCTACCACCAAATTTTTTTAACTCTCTCTCAATATATATTAATCGATATAAAAAGAGTTTTCATAAAAAAAAAATAATAATAACTTAAAAACAATTACCTAAAAATTATTATTTTACACAACTCAAACTCTACCACCAATTGTTTTTACCTCTCTATATATGTATGTATATTAATCAATATAAAAAGAGTTTTTATAAAATAAAAAAAAATTACCTAAAAATTTATTTAAATGATTTATTTAATAATATAAAAATATTTATTAACTGATATAAAAAGAGTTTTTACAAAAAAAAAAAAAAAAAAAAAAAATTACCTATAAATTTATTACTTTACAAAACACAAACTCTACCACCCATTGTTTTTAACTCTCTCTCTATATATTAATTTATATAAAATGAGTTTTTATAAAAAAAAAAATTAAAAAATTGCATAAAAATTTAGTTAAACTATTTATTTATTAATATAAAAATATTTATTAATTGATATAAAAAGAGTTTTATAAATAAAAAAAAATTCCTAAAAATTTATTTAATACTAACACAAAATATAAAAAAATATTTATTAATTAAAATTTACCTATTTGTCTATTTGTTTCTAAAATCACTACGTTCAAATTACTTAATAAAATTTAAATTATAAATTACATAATAAAATTCAAATTACCTAAAAATTTAGTATTACATAAAAATTTATTTTCAACACTTTCAAATTACCTAAAAAATTATTACTTTACACAACTCAAACTATGCCACCAATTGTTTTTAACTCTCTCTCTCTCTCTATATTAATAACTAAAAACTT